ATATGATATTTATTTTTAATTTTGTTAATGTGATGTATTACATTAATTGATTTGTGAATATTGAACCAACCTTGCATGCCAGGAATGAATCCCACTTGATCGTGGTGTATGATCATTTGAATGTGATGCTGAATTCAGTTTGCTAGTATTTTGTTGAGGATTTTTGCATCTATGTTCATTAGGGATAACGGCCTGTAGTTTTCTTTTTTTGTAATATCTTTGTCTGATTTTAGGATCAGAGTAACAGTGGCCTCATAAAATGTGCTTGGGAGCCTTCCCTCTGTATTTTTTGGAATAGTTTAAGGAGAATAGGTATTAATTCTTTTTTGAATGTTTTGTAAAATTCACCTCTGAAGCCATCTGGTCTAGGACTTTTGTTTGTTGGAAGCTTGTTGACTACTGATTGAACTTCTTTGGTAGTAATCAGTCTGTTCAGAGTTTCTGTTTCTTCTTGGTTCAGACTTGGTAGATTGTATGCTTCTAGAAATTTATCCATTTCTTCCAGATTGTTGAATATGTTGGCATATAGTTGCTTGTATTATTTTCTTACAATTTTCTGTATTTCTGTGGTATCTGTTGTCACTTCTCCTCTTTCATTTCTGATTTTATTAATTTGGGTCGTCTCTCTCTTTTTCTTGGTGAGTCTGGCTAAGGGTTTGTTGATTTTGTTTATCTTTACAAAAAACCACCTCTTGGTTTCATTGATCTTTTGTATTGTTTTTTGGTCTCTATTTCATTTATTTCTGCCCTGGTCTTTATTATTTCCATCCTTGTACTCTCTTTGGGCTTGTTTTGTGTTCTTTTTCCAGTTCCCTGAGGTGTAAAGATAGTCTGTTGATTTGAGATTGTTCTTGTTTCTTTAGCTAGGCCTGCATGGCTATGAATTTCCCTCTTAGGACTGTTTTCGCTGCATCCCATAGATTTGGGGTTGTTGTGTTTTCATTTTTGTTTGTCTTGCGATAGCTTTTAATTTCTTCCTTGATCTCATTTTGACCCACTCGCTATTTTGTAACATGTTATTCAACCTTCATGTATTTGTGTGCGTTTTGGATTTCTTCTTATAATTGATTTCTAGTTTCATAGCATTGTGGTTGGAGAAGACCCTTGATATGATTTCAATCTTCTTAAATTTATTGAGACTTTTTTTGTGGCCTAATATGCGGTCTATCTTGAAAAATGTTTCATGTGCATTTGAGAAGAATGTATATTCTCTGTTGCTTTGGGGTGAAATGCTCTAAAAATATCGATTAAATCCAGCTGGTCTAGAGTGTCATTTAATGTCACTGTTTCCGTGTTGATTTTCTGTCTGGAGGATCTGTCCATTGGTGACAACAGGGTGTTGAAGTCCCCTGCTATGATAGTGTTACTGTTGATCTCTGTCTTTATGTCTGTCAAAATCTGTTTTACATATTTAAGGGCTCCTATGTTGGTGCATAGATGTTTACTAGGGTTATGTCCTCTTGTTGAATCGATCTCTTTATTTTTATGTAGTGCCCTCCTTTGTCTTTTATTATAGTCTTCATTTTAAAGTCTATTTTGTTGGAAATAAGTATTGCTATTCCAGATTTTTTCTCATTTCCAGTGCATAAAATATCTTATTCCATCCCTTTACTTTCAGTCTGTGTGTGTCTTTTGATCTGAGATGAATCTCTTGTAAACAGCATATGCATGGGTCCTGTTTTCTTATCCACTCAGCCACTCTATGTCTTTTGATTGGAGCATTTAGCCCATTCACATTTAAAGTGATTATTGATAGGTGCATATTTATTGCAATTTTGTTATTTGTATCTCTGGTCTTCCTGGGTTAGCTTGTTTTCCCCTTTCTTCTGTTTAAAAAAGCCCTTTTAGCATTTACTGCAATGCTGGCTTGGTGGTAATGAATTCCTTAAGCTTATTCTTTTCTGAGAAGCTCTTTATCTCCTTCAATTTTAAGTGATAGCCGTGCTGGGTAGAACAATCTTGGTTGTAGGCCTTTATTTTGTGTCACTTTGAATATTTCCTGCCCCTCCCTTCTGGCCTGCAGAGTTTGTGTAGAAAAGTCAGCTGTTAGTCCTATAGAACCTGCTGCCTTTCTCTTCCCGCTTTTAGGATTCTGTCTTTGTCTTTAACCTTTGCCATTTTAACTCTGATGTGTCTTGGTGTGGACCTGTTTGGGTTCAGCTTGTTTGGAACCCTCTGCACTTCTTGGGCTTGTATGTCGATCTCCTTCACCAGAGTAGGGAAGTTTTCAGTCATTATCTCTTCAAATACATTCTCGATCCCTTGCTTCTTCTCTTCTCCTTCTGGTATTCCTATGATGCGAATGGTGTTGTGCTTGATGTTGTCCCACAGGTCTCTTAAACGAATTTTATTATTTTTTATTCTTTTTTATTTTTGTTGTTCCAAGTGGGAGATTTCTGCTATTTTGTCTTCTAAATCGCTGATCTAATCATCTGCTTAATCTAATCTGGTGATTCCTTCAAGTGTGTTCTTCATTTCAGTTGTTGTATTCTTTAGTTCTAACTGGGTTTTTTTTTTTATGATTTCTCCATCCTTCTTTATGTCCTAAGTTCCTTAAACATTCTTGTCAACAGTGTTCTAAACTCTGTCTCTGAAAGGTTGGATACCTCTGTTTCATTTAGTTCCATTTCTAGAGGTTTCTTCTGGTCTTTTACTTGGGGCATGTTTCTTTGTTTCTTCATTCTGGCTGTTGCTCTGTGATTGCTTTGATGTATTAGATATATCACCTATGCCTTTCAGTTGTTGCTGGGTGCTCTTCTAGTATGTGTTTTCTATATTCAAATTGCACAGTCTCTGTATTCCCCTGTCCCATGTGTTCCAGAGGTGTCGCTGTTGAAGTTGGTCTTTAATTGCCTTTAGCTTGTCAGAGGGTGGGATTGACCCTCAGATTGATTAGCTGGGATAATTAGCTCTATTCACATTGTATGAGATGCTGTGTGAAGGTTGATCCCCTCACAGGAGGCTTGGCCACTGTGGGTTCTTGTGCTTGTGGAAAATGTCCTTTGAGAGTGCCACTTGTAGGGTCAACCAGGTAGTACTGTGGCTTTGTCTAACACTTGTCTTTGGGTATATTGGTTTTGGTGTCTCTGAGGGGCTTCCACTCAGAGTCATTTCAGATCTCCCTGTTCCCAGTCTGTAGCTACCTGGTAGGTGCCTCAAGGCTGTACGCAGTTGGCTGCTCCCTATTCTGAACCTGGGGTCATGTGGGAATGTTCTCTGTGTGAACTGAATCTAGCTGCCCCTATGTTGGTCCTGAGGCAGTTTAGGAAAAGGCCCAGGGCCCCCTAGGCCTGTTGCTACCTGTCAGATGCCCGTAAGGTCCACCTATTGAAAGAGGCTCTTTAGGGCCATGTGTCTGGCTATTTGACCTGGTGTTGAGGGTGCCCTTGGCAGTGTGGCACTAGCTTGGCAAGATGGATTTCAAGTGAGTTATATGATGTGATTGGTAGTTTTTAAGATGTTAATGCAGATTCAGGTCTTACACCAATACCTGGCCTGTGACCTCCTTGTATAGTGTCCCAAGGGCACTATAGCCAGCCTCCAATTTGCCTTCACATACTCACAAAAGCTGCTCCCGAGTGGCTGTGGTGCAGGTTTGTGGTCTGAACACCACGAAGATGACCCCAGGGCCCTGCAAACCACCTTCTGTTGTAAAAAACAATATTTTCCACAGTTTGTAGGGGTGGGGCCAGTCACCTCAGCACCCTGATTGCCCCTGGCAATGCAGCTGGTGGCAATGCAGGTGGGCGAGGTGGTGGTACAGGTGTGTAAAGGCTGTGGTCAGTAGTTTCTACAAATTCAGTGTAGTCTTGGCCCCTGGACCAGTGCTTGGTCCATGTCTACTTCATAAAACAAAAACAAAGCAAGGCAACACAACAACACCAAAAAACAAATACACTCCCACAGAAACTCGATAAGCAATGATCAGACAGGAGAAACAAAAGCATATAAAAAAACACAAACACAAAAAAAGAGAACAAGATAGAAAAACAGTGACCAAAGCAATCAGTATCCAGATAAACAAGTCTGAGAAACAATGACAAAAGCAAAACAGATGAAAGAAAAGAAGGAAAAGGAACAAAAAGTTGAAAGAGAAAGAAACGAAAAACAAATAAGAATAAAGAAAAGAAGTGGAAAGAAAAAAGAAGGAAAAAAGAAATTAAAAAATAAACAAAAAAGGCTCTCTGTCCGCTTTAATCTGCAGACCACTTGCTCAGCAATATAGAGTCTCTGGGAAACTCAGCACCAGCTATGTTGGGGGGAAGGGCTCAACATGTCATTCACGGCCTCCCTTTCAGGCTTGCAGTGAACTTCCTGTAATTAGCTGCTGTGTGCTGTGGAACTGTGCTCACCACAAAAAATCCTCACAGGTTGTTGTGGGCTGTCTGCTCCTACAAAAAACCCTCTGTGGCCTGCGGAGGTAGGGGCCAGGCACCAGGGGCTCAGGATGCTCCCAACAACACAGCTCTAGGTAGGCGGGGCAGGCCCCCAAGGCACCATGGGATGTGATCAGTGGCCCCCACCAAGTCAGAGCAGTATGCACTCCTGCACCAGCAACCAGCTCGCACTAATGCACCAGGAATGCCCCGGCCAGATCACGCAGGCACACAGCTCACGGTCCAACACTCCCAGGAAAACTCCCAGTCTCAGCCTCTCCCAATGAGCCGCTCCCAGATCAGCCTTAGCAGCCCAACAGCCAATCACTAGCCTGGCAACTCTGCATGCGCAGTGTGGAGAGCGGGGACCCAAAGCGACTCGTGCACTCCTGTGTCTCAGTGAGCAGCCTGCTGGAGCTGGAACATGCCCGCTAGGCGTTTCCCTGGCTACACAGCACAAGCAGTGCAGAGGGTGTGGACCCAAGGCCGCATGCGTGCGCACGCACATACCCACTCCTGTGCCAATTCCACCAGATCAGTGTGGTCCTGGACCTGACCCTCTGTAGGAAGGCCCAACCCTGAAAAATGTAGCCCTCCTGTGCACTACTCATGTGCAAACTTTACACCAGGGGAACAATGGTCTCAAATCCTTCTGCTCATGAGCCAAAAGCGCTCAGTTCAGTCCTTCCCCACAGGCTCCTGGGCCCAGCTCACACAGCCACTCTCTCCACCAGGAACCGGGTGAGTGCTCACCAGCGAGTGAGTCGGTTTGCCGGCTCTACTGGTTCTCTAGCCGCCCTCCACCCCACCGAGTTGAGCAAAGAGAGTCCTCACTAATTTCTACTGCCAGCTATCGTAGAACGCCTCTTCCCGGCAAAGTAACTCTGGGCTGGTGAGCGCGGTGTGGGGCCAGAGGGTCCTTCCCCAACCAGAGAAGCCTCCCCACCACTGATGTGTCCCTCACGGGGTTCGCCCTCTCTCGTCTCCACCCCTCCTACCAGACTTGACGTGGTCTCCTCTGTAAGTCCTTTGTTTAGAGGTTCTGTTCATTTAGTGTTCAGGGGACTTCCGAGGTTGAATGTTGTATAAATGATTTGTAATTTTGTTGTGATCCTGGGAGGCAGTTGGCACAGCATCTGTCTATTCCGCCATCTTACTGGAAGTCCGGAAGGGGTGTAATTTGAGATCTAGGAAAACTCTATTAGCATGGGATCTCCTAGAGAGGGTCTTTCTTTTTAGGCTTTTCAGCATTTCTTAATAAAATCACAAATACTTCCTGGACATAAAAGCTTATCCTTTATCAATTCCTATCAGCTAGCCCCTCATGTAAGGATAAAACCCTGAGTAAGGAGGGAGAGTGAGGCTCCAACAAATAGATAAAAGATTAGTGGCTGCCAGCAGAGAACCCTTGAAAACAAATCTTACAAGATCATCAAAAAATTTAGGTGCCGGAAGCAAATCCCATTCTACTAGACTTTGCAGCACCATCCCCCTGACCACTCTCATTCTGAAATTTCTACCATTGAAATAATTTCTCTGAGTTACATAAAAGGCAGCCTGCAGCTATGAGAAGTAAGGGACATCAGAACTTGGGTACAACTGCAGGAATAATTGAGCCGGTGGAACTTGGATGAATCTGATACATTGTCTTGACAGTTGTTTGCTATAATGGAAGGTTCAGCATTTCAACTAAGTGAAAACAAACTCTACAGCTACACTTAAGAGAAACCTAACTGTTAGTTCAGGATACAAAAGCCTGTTACTGTTGTGTACCTGCACACCTGCTAAGGATGGGACAGTTTTGCTCTGCTAGTTCATGCAGGCACGTAATCACCCATTTCTCAGCAAATAAGACTAATGTGCAGTCATCACTTCCTGAGGGATCAAAAGCTTTTGTACCAAATTGCACAGTGGGTGGGATGCTATTGGCCTCACAGAAGTGATGAGGGGAGGGATCAAACTACCGTATTTGCCGGCGTATAAGACGATTTTTTGGCCCTGAAAAATATGCCTCCAAGTGGGGGGTCGTCTTATACGCCAGGTACACTTCA